TCACTCATCGCTCCTTGTAGAGTTTATTGTCCACATAAAGCTTATCCACCGAGATGGCAGCTCTCTTCCCATCCTTGATAAACTTTTTGCGCAGTGGAAAGAGAACTCGGTGCCGATCCAGGATTTCCTTAGGGAACTGGTCATTTACGCTGAAGTCTTTTCCTTTGAGCTCTCTTCCGTGACTTTTAACAAGATCCTTCTGCTTAAAATGTTCAAATTTAGCCACGATGGGACGAGATCTTCTGCTGTCCACTCTTTTAGCTCCAAGGCGATGTACCTGGTGAAAGGTGATGCTTTTTACCGTTTCTTTGGGTATCTTCATTTGGGTCTGGAGAAAGTTTTTTATTGTTTGCTCGCAGTTCTCCGCCCCTCCCGCCTGCTCCGGCAGGCCTGCGAACACCAAATTATCCCTCATGCTACAGGCCTGAAGGTCCAAAACCGTCTCTTTCAGAATCTTGTTGTCCAGGGTGATCCGCGTCATTCCCTCTTCCAGGGAAGAAACGGACTCCCGCAGAGACGCGTTCTCAGCAGCGAGCCGCTCCACCTGCTCTTGGCTGAACTCCAAAGATGTTCGGAGGTTCTGAAACTTCTGGTGTAGAACCTCAAGCAGATGAAGACGCCCTTCAAATCCCAGAAGCTGTTTATCTATAGAATCTAATAATTCTAATATGTCCTTACGGGGAGATGAGGCCTGAGGTGAGTCCTGAGGACGTCTCCTCTTGGTCCCAGGTGTTTCAGGCTCAGCTGCTGATTTATTCGGACCCATGACGAAAAACTCAAAAACTCTGTCAATATAGTTTTGTAAACTTTCTAAATTTTCTTCACGTACCTCCAGGTTGAGTGAGTCACACTTACCAGATTATTTCTTTTCATTGCCAGTTGATAAATTAGGCAAAGATGCGTCTTAATTGTTTGTGGGTGTTTGCTAACGAGCTGCCATCAGCTTCAAACGCTGCCGTGTATCCGGTGATCGGCCATCAGTGCATGCTTCCCCGTCTTTTTGCTGTGTGCTTAGGGTCGTTGTCCTGCTGAAAGGTGAACCGTCACCCCAGTCTGAGGTCAAGAGCTCTTTGGAGCAGGTTTTCATCCAGGATGTCTCTGTACATTGCTGCAGTCATCTTTCCCTCTATCCTGACTAGTCTTCCAGTTCCTGCCGCTGAAAAACATCCCCACAGCATGATGCTGCCACCACCATGCTTCACTGTAGGGATGGTATTGACCTGGTAATGAGCGGTGCATGATTTTCTCCAAACGTAACACCTGGCATTCAGTTCAATTCAATTTTATTTATATAGCGCCAAATCACGACAAGAGTCGTCTCAAGGCCCTTCACATAATAAACATTCCAATTCAGGTCAGTTCATTAAGCCAATCAGAAATAATGTTTCCTATATAAGGAACCCAGTAAATTGCATCAAGTCACTGACTAGTGTCAGTGACTTTACAGCAATCCTCATACTAAGCAAACATAAAGCGACAGTGGAGAGGAAAACTCCCTTTTAACAGGAAGAAACCTCCAGAGAATCCTGGCTCAGTATAAGCAGCCATCCACCACGACTCACTGGGGATGTAGAAGACAGAGCAGGCGCACACTCTCTCTCTCTCTCTCGCTCTCGCTCTCACACACACACACACACACACACACACACACACACACACACACACACACACACACACACACAGAGAGAGAATTAAACCAGGGAGCCAACTTCCTGTCCCTTTTTACCTTCTTTTTTAAAGGGGCAACATCATCTAATGCCACACGTAAAGAGGAATTAACATGATGAACTAAGCCATCAATTTGTGAGGGGCTAGAACTGAAAATATTGCCCTCTGCTACGTTCCTCTGAGATGCTGAGGACAGTAAAGATGGAACAGTTGATTTAAAAGATGCAACTGCGTTGTCGGATAGAAATGTAGGTCAGGTATTTAAAAATATTATAACTATAAACATCAGATGAGACAAAGGAACTAAACACCAGTCTAATGCATATTAATTGAGCCTTTCATAATAACAGTCCGTTATTCAGCCTGATAATTTTGTTGTTTTATTTCATATTTTTTAGCAGCAAATGATAAATAAATGATGAATGACCCACACTTGTATAGCGCCTTTCAGAGTAAGGACTCCAAAGCACTTTACACTACAGTGTATCATTCATCCATTCACACACACATTCACAAACCTGTTTTGTTTCACTTGAAACGTTGTCAAATGGAATATTCAATTCATCAACAGAAGCTTAGATTAGAACCTTTAACGAAAAAATATTTAGCCTTTAAAAAAGTGAGGCAGTTGAATGCAAAGAGTATGCATGTGCTGGTGCATGGTCAGGATGGTACCACCTCTGCCTCAACTTGAGCCAGGAAAAACCCTGTTGTGTATATAAGCTGAAACTGTAACTCTGATGAAGACAGCAAAGTCAAAGCATTAAATTTTTTACCTGCACCTATTAAAAAGTTTATTTGACCCTTCCTTTTTATTCTTAAAAAACTTTTTTCTTTCTTTGAGTTGTGCTTGGTCTTTTGCCGGTTGTTGTAGAATCCATTTCCAGAGTTCTTCCTCTTCTTCTGTTTGTTGCCTTATGGCTGGCAAGCAACGTATAGGTGCATTACCGCCACCTACTGAGTTGGAGTGTAGACGACATTTTCTTCTGGTTTTGAAGCTTGTCGAGGGCAAGCTGTGTCAATTTACATCACATCCGTAGAACAGGGCGGGTTCTGGTACTTTTTGGGTTGCAGCCGCTCGCTGCGTCGCTTCAACCCTCACTAGGAATGAGCAAAATATCAAACACTCCAGAAGTCCGTGTGTGCTCACGATTGCTGATCGGTAGTTGGTCACGTGGTGTCAATCGCCCCTCGTAACCCCCTGTACACTACACGATGCTCAGCGCAAAACTCGCCCCGATCTTGTGGATTCTCGCACGAGTTGAAAATCGGCTCAAAAAAGGGAAAAAGTCGCACAGTGTACGCCCGGATTTAGTCATTCCTTACCATATCGGTATCGCTTTGATAAATAAACAAAGCCGATATTAACAACCAGTATTTTTTGCATCTCATCTCCATTTGTTTGCCTGTTTCAGAGGGTGAGGGGGGTGATGTGTATTTGTTTAGTCATGTGAGAGTGAATGAAATCATCTCAGAACCATAAATGTGTGTGTTGTGTGTGCATAATAACGTAAATTCAGCTTTAAAAATTTTCATTCTGTACAAAATCTGCTGATTTTAGAAACATTAATGTCATTATATCGGTATCGGAAAATATCGATTTTTGGCCACAACAGTGATCTTAATATCAGATATCGGTATCGGCCAAATAATGTCTTATCGGTGCATCACTATTCAGATCAAATCCCAATTAAAATATTGTTTTCTTATCCTTTGTCTTAGCCATCATCAAAGCCAAGTCACAGAAATCCTATAAAAAAGGACGTCTCACTTCAGTATGCAGCAGCTCTCGCTGACAGCATATTGAGGATGATTGCTAAAGACATGAGGCTGCTCAGTACACTGGATGATGATGGTTTTTATGGAACAGAAATATAATGAGGAGATCCAAGGGTAAAAAATACCCTCTCTTCTTCACGTCCATGATTGGCGCAACAGCAGATGCCTGGAGAAGTATTTCCACAGAGGCTTATGGGCATACCATGCCAGTTCATAAATGACAAATGGGAGCTTATGAGCTATAGTTTGACAACAATGCCACTTGAAGACACACACTGCAGAGAATGTTTTTGTTGGTACTTTATTTCCAGGTGTAATTTTTCCTTGAAAGGTTGTAATTTCATCAGTTTGTGTTTTGAGAAATTAATCTTTGTTTGATGAAATGAAATGATTTCCTCTCCTTAAACAAAACATATCGTTTAGAATAATCAACTAAACTTCTATTAGTTAGTTGTCACGTGTGTGAAATTTGTTCTCTGCATTTGACCCATCTCCTGGTGAGCTGCAGCTGTGGCCGCGCTCTGGAACTGTTTGGTGGTTTATCCCCCAAATCAACCCCTAAAGCTGAGTGTCAACCCGACCGGGATTTGAACACTGACCTCCCAGTCCCAGGGCAGACACACTACCACTAGGTCACTGAGCTAGTAATTTACAATAGTCGTTGGCGGCAGCCCTAATCTTTAACATTTGTGATACTCAGTTTCTGATATTGTTGGCCTAAATACAGGGCCTAGACTTTCCAGGATCGCGTTTGAAGGCTGATTATGTTGCAGCAAAGAGACGAAGCTTCACATCCTTGTTTTCCTGGAAATTCAAGGATGGGCCAAGTTGGCAATGGCTGTCCGAAGACAGGCTAACCGGGAGAACTTTCTTCTTGTAATGCAAATATCTGGCTTAAAGCACTTGTGTCATTGTCATGCTGTGGCACGGTTGCTAGGTGGCCAGGCCGATGTCGAGGTAGAAGCAAGAATGAATGTGAAGGCTTGACTTCAATTATCTTTTTCTGGTGTTGGTATGATGCTGCAGCAGCGATGGAGCCCATAATTCTGAGATTATAAGCTACAAAAACGTTTTGACCCATTTCAGTGTTTGTGAGGCTGAATCTGGTCTGCAGACACTAGGACACGCTGCACCTCTCATGCCTGAGATCTTTCCAATAACTTCAGACTCTGAGATGAAGCAGAAAACAACACTTCCTCCTGATGTGTTCATCTCAGACGAGAGGGGAAAGAAAGAATGAAATGTTTACTTTAGAAACCATGTTTTCCTTCAGTGTAAACGCTGCGTCTTGTCTGAAGACAGCTCCACTCTGTCCAGGGACTGTTTGTGCCAACTCTGTGAGAGGTTCAATGATTCTGAGAAGTTCCAGTCATTAGGGGGCCTTCAGCCTTCTGCGCGACCACAGATGTAGCAGGGAGATCATCTACACAATCACTCGATCTGAGTGTTAAACGTCTGCAGATGCTTAATGCGGTCCTTGTTACAGGACTCCAGTTCAGACCCACGCACGCTGACATAATGTTATTTGTACCTTATTTCTGTTTTTTCTTCAGGAGGTGCAGCCCGAGCCGGTTCTGAATGCACTAAAGGACCCAGCGAAAAAAGGAAAATGCAAACCCACCCCATCTGCTCATCTGCCCATCAAAGCGAGCCAGGAGTTCCCTAAAAGTGAGTTCTCTAATATCAAGCACAAGTTTGGATTCATTACAGCAACTTGAATAAATCTGCTGCATGAGCATTTGTTTTTCCTCTGGCTGTAACTCAAGCTGCCAGCACCTGTTTTGTGTTGTTAGTGTGGAAATCTGCAGTGTTTCTCCGTACAGGCGTGTCTGGCAGCAGTAATGGGGCTTGTTTGTCCAACTGACAGGAAGGGTTGCAACGACTCTACATTTTAGTGGTACGACTTTAGTCTGAGTCAATAATTTTATATGAATTAATTTCACATCTGTATTAGGGCTGGGCTATATAGAAAAAAGCACATTGATATAAAAAGATCATATTAATCAATATTGGTAATTATTAGGGATGTCCCATTCCAATATCGAAAGTAATTTGATATCGGCCCAAAAACACTGATTATATCGGACTGCATCAAAAATCTCCGATATAAGCACTCCGTTAAGGTTACATTTATGTTTATGTTTATGTATTTAGCAGATGCTTTTGTCCAAAGCGACTTACAAGTGATAAACGGCATGTTGCCTTTGAGGCTAACAACATCAATAACAACATCAACAAAAACAACAACCAATTTCCAGTCAGTCGTAGGTGGCATTTATGCAACCAATGGTTAATAAAATTGTCTTATTTTTTCCTACTTACTGTTATTGGCTCCTGTTCTCCGACTGAGTAACATCACTTGATCGAGCCTTTCATACATTCCACAGTACGAAACAGGTAAAAGCCTGTGTGATTCGTGCTGAAATCGTATCAGATTCATATCGGTACTGGTCAATACTGAAGGCTGCAATATTCGTATCGTATCGGAAGTGAAAAGTTTGACTTGACTTGTACTTTATTTCGAACTAAAATGAAAAAAAAAACATGTTTTATACAGCACAACTCGACACAAAAGCAATCAAATAATAAAGTCCGAAAAGGAGTAGTTGAAGTAAAACTTGTACATTCCTACCCCCTTCTCACTTATTCTTATTCAACTTATCTCAAAAACAAAATTTAAAAATTAAGATACATATCTATTTAAAAATAACAATAAGAGTAACAAATAGATTAAACATACTCCACAATCAACTTCTCGTATAATTCTATTTAACCCAGCTCAGCAACATAATTATCCAGTAGATGTTTTTTGTAGCTCTTCTTACACATTTTTTTCAAATTTTCACTCAGATTGTTCCATAATTCAACCCCACATATTGTTGTACACATACTCCTCTTTGTTGTCCAAACTCTCCGTTTTTTTTAAGATTATTGCCCCTCTTAAATTGTACCCATCGTCTTTATCATTAAACATTTTCTGTATATTACATGGAAGTAATTTATTTCTTGCCTCAAACATGATTACTGCGGTTTTAAACTATCAGATCAATAAATTTTAACACTTGTAATTTTAAAAACAGTGTTGTTTTGTGTTCCCTATATCCCACATTATATACTATCCTTATTGCTCGTTTTTGCAGTATGGATAGTGATTGCAGATTACTCAGGTATGTGTTTCCCCAAACTTCCACACAGTGATTCAAGTATGGCATTAACAGTTATGAAAACAGAATATACAACGATTCTTGATTCAGTAAATGTTTTATTTTACCCAAAACGCCAATGCTCTTTGCCAGTTTTGTTTGTATATATTTAATATGTGGTTTCCAGCTATTATTATGGTCTAGGATAACCCCCAGAAATTTTGTTTCATAAACTCTCTATTCTTACATTGTCCAACATCAGTTTTATCTCGGAGTCCACTCTTCGATTTCCGAACAAGATGACTTTGGTCTTGTCCAAGTTTAATGATAATTGTGTTCAAGCTCAACCATTCTTTCAACTTACTCATTTCAGTCCTCACTTCTCCCAATAATTGCTGTATATTTTCCCCAGAACAAAGAGCTTCGGTGTCATCTGCAAACAAAATTTTTATTTTTTATTTTTTGAAACCATAACTAAGTAATTTATAGACATAATAAATAACTTAGGACACAGTACTGACCCTTGTGGTACACCAACAGTTATGTCGAGACAGTTGGACATGACATCTCCCATTTGAACAAACTGTTGTCTATTTCCCATATAACTTTTTAACCAATCCAAAACCACCCCTCTAATGCCATATCTTTCCATTTTCATAAATAGTATGTCATGGTCTATAGTATCAAATGCTATTCTGAGATCAATAAAAAAAAAACATGTTTGTTTTTATCCATGCAATTTGTGACTTCTTCTATTAAATCCATTAATGCTACAGCGAATTATCTATTTTTCCTGAAGCCATACTGGCTTTCTGACAGCAAATTAAATTGTTCAATAAATTCTTCTAGCCTGTAATTAAAAAATGTTTCAAGTATTTTAGAAAACTGGCACAATAATGATACAGGCCTGTAGTTTGTAAAAAGTTGTTTGTCTCCTGCTTTAAATAATGGTATGACTTAAGCTATTTTCATTTTTTTGTGGGAATACACCAGATGAAAATGAGAGATTACAGATATGGGTCAGTGGATCTGCGACACTATTAACGAATTTCTTGACTATTAGCATATCTATTCCATTCCAATCAGTAGATGTCTTTCTTTTAAACATATTTACTGTACCTATCATCTCTTTTGTATTAACGGCCCTAAGGAACATTGAGTGGGAGTTCTTTACTATATTGTTTTCCATGGCTTTGCTATCTTTAGGCTGGTTCTCTTCAATTTCTTGTGCCAGCCTTTGTCCAATATTCACAAAGAACTCATTGAACCCTTCCACCACTTGACTTCTGTTGTTTGTAGCGCTATTTCCATCAATAAAACATTCTGGATAATTATAACTAGCCTTATTTTTCTTAATAATGTCATTCAACAATTTCCATATGCCTTTACTATTGGTTTTATTTTCATTTAATAATTTTGTATAATATTTCTTCCTACATACCCTCATTACAGTAGTCAATTTATTGTTATATTTCTTGTACCTTTGTTCTGCCTCTATCGTTCAATTTGCTATATACGGTTTATAGAGAATATTCTTTTTTTTTACAAGCATTTAACAGTCCCTTTGTGATCCATGGTTTGTTGGGTTTTATTTTTTTAGTATATTATATATATATATTGGACAATGTTTATCATAAAGTGACTTAAATATATTAAGGAAGTATTCATATGCCCTTTCAACATTAGTTTCATTATACAGTTGTGACCAGGTTTGAGCTTGCAAATCACTGTTGCTTCTATCGATTCTTCTGTTTTTAGTCTGATATATTTCCTTTGGTATCTCTTCGTTATCCTTTCACACTCACAATCATAGATTGTAAACACTGGCAAATGGTCACTGATGTCATTTATCATTAGTCCACTGATTAATGTGCTTTCCATACTGTTGGTAAATATATTGTCAATTAAAGTTGAACTACGCTTAGTTATTCTACTGGGTTTTGTGATCAATGGATAAAAAGTCATACTGAGCATTGTATTTATAAATTCCTCTGTCATTTTGTGTTTGTTTGAGTTCAACAGATCTATATTAAAGTCTCCACAGAGGAACATGACCTTCTTATTATTTAGAGCTAATATATTTTCCATATTACTCATAAAAATGTCAATACAAGCTCCTGGTGCCCTGTACACACAACTCACTATCACATTTTTATGTTTTTCCATATTTATCTCCACAGTTATACATTCCATAACATCATCAATTGTGAATGTGATCTTTTCCACCACTCTACAATGAAGAGTATTGTTTATGTACAGCACAACCCCTCCTCCCACCTTGGTTTTCCTGTTCATAGAATTGAGTATATATCCATCCAAATCAAAATCTATTCCCTTTTCAGGTTTCAACCAGGTTTCTGATAGAGCTATGACATCACATGATTTTTTGAACTGTTTGAAATATTGTGTGATATTTTCATGATTGGCATACAGGCTTCTACTGTTAAAATGGATAATAGATAAACCTTGCTCAGGGGTAAGTATACTGTTGAATTGATCATCCATATAATAGAAGAAGATATTGTTTAAATGATCAGAAAAATTATTATCTGGATCAATATCTTGTTCTAGTTCATGCATATTCTTTTTTTTTTTGTGAATTTTCAGTATTGTTGAGCATTTACGTGATTAATGAGATTACTGTTTGGATGAATGTCCATTAAGTTATAAGTGGATTAGTTACCTTGTTGATTTATCCCTATCTAGTGGTATTTATCTAAGTCATCTATTTCTCTGACAGCCAACTCTTTAGCTGCCTCTGATGAACCATTTAATAAACACCTTACAGTTGGCAGTCCAGGTTGACTGTATTTTCTTTTGTTTTCTGACAAGTCGTGCCTCCCTGGCTATGTCTGAGTTATTTTTATTTTTTTTTTGGTGAGGTGCTCGTTTAAGTAGACATTTGTTCCCTTCAGCTTTTTCCCTTGTCTCAGGATTGCGTTATTAGGTTTTATGTTTGTAAATCTCATTATTATAATTGGTGCATCTCTCTTCTTTTTCTGAGGGAGAGGATGGAATCTGGATCTGAAGTTCAGAGTGCATCTGTCAGAGGTCAGACGCGTTCCAGCGGAACCACGGCTCACGGGTGCACATGTGAGCACATCTGGGCTGGGCAGAAGTAATTTTACAATATTGGTTTAAATAGCGCCAATAACGAGACGCGGTGACTTGAGCGGCTTGTGGAGCTGTGCCGCGCGCGCGTGCACGCACACACACACACACACACTCACACACACACAGATTCAATAAGCGCGCACGCCGCACAAACTCCGGCGCGCCGTCAGACTGAAGACAGAAATGAGCGCTGCCTCCTTCATGATAAAAACTTTTAAGAGGTTTTATAACATTTTTCATTCCAGGTCTAATTAAGATATTAGCTTCTATTTTGGGATGACGTACTAAAGTCGGGTCCGCTCCAGCCAGTGACTCCGAACCTGACTACAACTCATGTTACTGCAGCGTTTGTTATTCCAGTCCGCGTGGCAGCGGATCGCAGATTCAGCCACACCATGAAGCAGCAATAAG